ACAACAATAAAAAAATTTTACTTGATATTTTTTTAAAAAATATAAAAATATATATATTTTTAATAAATTAAAATTTTTAATATAATATAATTACTTGTAAGAATTGGATTGTTTTTATTTTTTATTAAAAAATATTATTATATTATTTTTAAATATATTTGTTAAAAAAATAAAATATAAAAAACTTTTTTTTATTTTTATTTAAGAGTTAATAAGTAAATAAATAATTTATAAAATTAAATTATTATTTTATTATAAAAATGAGTTTGTTTTTCTTATATAAGAAAATGGTTATTATATTTGATTCTTTAATATAAATAATCTAATTTCAATTATAAAATATATAATATTAGACTTAATACCTAAGTAACTTATGTAATATACAAAATAAATTATAGAAAAATAAAAATAGAAATAAAAAAAAATATATATATAAATATATAAATAATTAATATATATTATGCCATATTATAAAACTAATATCTAAATATAAGAAACAGTATTATAAAATAATAATAATGGATACTCAGTCTGGAATTAGAATTTACAGTATATTATGAAATCTAACCTAAAATATACTCAAAAATAATAGAGACATAGTAAAAACTATTAAATCATAACTGATTTAGTCACAAAATCGGGCAATTACATGATCAAGTTACCAAAATTTGATAGGTTTCAGTAAAGTAAACTCAAATTGCTTGTATAATACACGATTATCTTGTAATTCAGACAACAAGTGCATCAGTAAACAAATATTTAGTATAGCAAAACTTACAATTAATTCACTTAGATCCAATAGAGGCTTATATAACTATTTTTCTTAAGACTTGGTTTGCAGCAGGATTATTTGAATATATAGAAGAAGAAACAAAAATTACTGTATAATTTTAATAGCCGTTTAACATCCCTGTCTGTGTAACCATTGCTAATTTAATCTTAAGCTTTAAATTTTTTTTTGCGTCACATATAATAGTAAAAACGAAACTAAGAGTTGTGAAAATATACGAACACCGATATAATGACGGACCATTAGGATTGTTTTTACAACAGTTTTGTGAAACAAAGAAAACAGACTGTATATGACGAAGCAGAAGAAAAAACAGAAATGGAATGAGATACGGAGAAATAATCAAGAAAGACGAATATCCATCTAACAGGATAAAATGCCGGTCTTCCACCAAAGATAATGTCTCACGAAAAGTCTTTAATTAGAAATGCAATTTGAAAATGCTAGAGAAACAATGATGGCGATAAAGGAGGAAAGAGACATCAGCTGAGTTATCAAAGAACCGGTAGTATAGGAAAAACGACAATTATTTCATTAGAATCTTGGATGATAAAGATATGACAGCCAAATCTACAAATGCAATCTTGGAACTTACTCGAGACGAGACACTTCTGATGCCAAAAACCTCAGATGATGAAGATGGAATCGTGTCGGTGTTAGATGATGGAAATAAAATAGTAAAACATAATGATCCAGAAGAATCCGTTAATGAAATAAGCGAACCTAAATTAAGTCGATTTGCCGTGATGATGACACCATATATGCTGAGCGGAATAGCATTAGACCTCGGAATATGAAAGTAGGTGTAAGACCATACGAGCCTATAAGATCACTAAAACTGATGAAGAATCATAACCAATGATGAGAGGCAATATAACAATATTGAAGGAAATCAACGGTATGTCTGGTTAAACGAAACTATCACGATGATGAAATTGTATGCACCGAGTGGGATGTACGTCATCTTATGATAATCAAGGAGTCCACGGCAAGAGTTAGGGAGGATAATTAGATATTGGGTGAAACTCGTCCCAATTAGATCACATGATCCGAAAATTATGAAATTGATCTGCACCTGACGTAATTACTGCGCCTATGATCCATAAAATAGAACACGGAACGCGTTTGACATGTTTTTCCCATTTTTCATTATCAGCAAATAAAAAACTTGATATATATATATATAATATTTTTTAGAACTTCAAAGTTGAAAAGGAAAATGCACAGCGTTGCCTCAGAAATTTTAGGGTGAGTCTTATGTTAAACAAAAGAAGGAAGAAACTTTGGAAAAGCGACTTTATTAAGTCTTCGTGAAAAAAGGTTCTCAAAGAAGTGACTATCTTATGTATTAATTATAGAAAGAGGTTGACGGATTACAAGTTTGTCATTTTTTGGAATATTATAATTCAAGAAAGAAAAGAGGTAAGTAAGTGCTGCATCGTATTGATGTCCTGGTGTCTAACTTACAAAAATGTTCTTTCATTTTCCAAAGCTAAAATCAAACGCTATTAGAAATAAAGCTGTGATTACCTCCAAAAAAATTAATTTACCGGTTCAACAGGTATGCTAGTTTCATTAAGATTAATATTTTCTAATTAATGTTGTGTATATAATTCACGAATGAATATGAATTTCAAAGAATGGAAGGAAGCGACCAGTATAAGAAACATTTGTTATTAGACCTTCCAACTTTCGTAATCACCTTCCCCATAATAATGAGAATATTTCTCTTGATGATTATGATGAAGATCCAATTTATGTTAACGATAATCAATTAAAGCCTCTCTAGTAATGTTTTTTTTCATTTATTTGTTTTATAATATGTGTATGCTCGTTTCTAACCTGCATTGCGATATTGATCTTATATTTCCGCAGGATAAGACAAATGTTGCTAAGGACGTTTGCGCTGATCAATCAACCAGTGTTTCCTTTATGAATATACAGCAGACATCTACTATTATGATTTTTTGAAAAAAATTAATTACTATTAGGCAAGTTCGTGAAAGTCAATTAAATAACATTTATGACCCTTTCGTGGAAGCACGTTATTAACAAAATAAAAGGTTCTAAAAATTCAGATCACGATGTAAAAATTTAAATATTTTAAACGTTATTACGGTAAACCCTCTCTAAATGCACTTCCCTCGGGACCATAGTAAAATTTTCAGAAAATGTGCATTTATAGAGGGTGTGCATTTATAGAGGTGATTTTATTAAATGTTCTATGTACTTGGGACCAAGCTTGACCGTGCATTTAGAGAGGGAAAATATAGTAAGTGCATTTAGGGAGGTTTCTCTGTATATGGTTTTTCATCGAAAATCATGTTTGTCCATTAATAGTTACATACCATAAATGCTTTTTTTAGATTTCCAGGCAAATTTTGTACGAGGGTTGATGTGTCGCTAATAACTTGACTGGCTAAGGGGTCCTTCCAAGTTAAATTGTGAACTGAGATCTCATTTACATCAGAGTATAAACGTTGATAAAGTGGAGAAGTGTCGTTTCCGAGTTTCCTTTTCAAGTAATCTACATTGTTCTTAATCTGATCAGAACTAAGCGGTTTCTCCACATCCGTCTTGATCGCTCCCATATCATATAAAGCACAAACTCCTTCAAAAGCAATATCAAACTAGGTAAAAATATAATGCGTTAGTTTTCAGAATATAGAAAATTCACCATTAAAATAACTTATATTATCAGTGCATATGCAAAGTTAACATCATCGTGTGGCCATCACGCTGACAAAACTTTGTGTGATACTGAATATCTACATAATAACTTATGCTCCAGCACACCCCGGCCATGCAATAACCTTTTCACATAATAGGTTAGTAGAGTGAACTACAATACTGCATAACAGTCTATAGCTTATACACCCCTCCATTATGCGCAAGTTTTATTGGGGCCGATTGAATGGGTGTGAAAAACATAAGCAACAAACTAAAACTATATAGCTTGTTTATTCAGCATTCCAAATAGATCACACAATATCATCATATAATAGAATCTAAAACATCCAAATAAAACTTTAACTAACCTGCGGGGAAATTCGTAAAATTCTTAATTGGCGCGATGAACCCTCCATGTATACATTGCTAGCAGAAGTTACAACTCGGTCTACAATTGACCTTAATTCGGTTTGTGGAATCCATCGGTCCTCTTTCATTCCAAGATATATAGCAGAGGTAGCATTTATTTGGTGTTCTTCGGCGGTAACGTTTTACAAGGACAGTATATTTACGTTGTGGTTGTTCGTCGTTTCTTTTTTGCTTGCGCCGATATATTAACAAAAATTTACAACGGAGTTAGTGTCAAGACACATATTACCGATCGACATGTCTACCGATTTGTATAACATCATTTACGGGAATGTGAAAATGCATACACCACGAGTTAGTCAAACAAATTTGGATTTATATGTCATGGCAAACTACTGTAACAATCGGTAGGTTACACGATTAAATCATGCATGCTGATGTTCCGAAATCGACTTTCATAACATTTGGGTAATTATTTTCGAAGGCGGACCGGAAATTTTCTGGTACTACAATTGTGGTGTATTGTTTAAAAGTAGGGTCCAAAAAAATCATATCTAGCATTTTTGTTATATACGTGTATATTACAATAAATATCATGGCGTAGTATCAAAGCGACAGTAAATAAAATCCATTAAAAAAGGGAGATCGAACAAGTCCCAGACCAGTCCCGGACTGTAGTCCCAACATTTTATTTAAATATCTCCGACAAGTAATAAAACATCCGATTAAGATCGATAACAACCCTAATGTTGATATTGCGTAATTGGCGCACTGCGCCAAAATATACCCCTTATGACATAAACAATAGAAAAAAAAATTTTTTTTCCCAACCTTACTAGGCACGTGTAAATATGGGCAATTATTTTCGAAGGCCCGAATCACTACCCCGAAAATTTCTATTGATACGTATATGGGTGATTCTTTTTGAAGGCGGACAGGAAATTTTCGGACCCTAAAATTATTATGATCTGCATACCCTAAATTTAT